GGAAGTTATTAGAGAAACCCTTTCTGGAGAAATAAAAGAACTAAAATCTAACCAAGTCGAAATCAAAAAGGCTATTAATGAGGTACAATCAAAAAGGGAGGCTATAACTACTAGGATAAATGAAGCAGAAAAGAGAATTAGTGATATAGAAGACCAAAGGATGGAAAATAAAGAAGCTGAGAAAAAGAGAGATAAACTATTAGATCACAAGGGCAGAATTAGAAAGATAAGTGATACCGCAAGACGAAACAAGGTAAGAATAATTAGGATCCCAGAAGAAGAAGAAAGAGAGAGAGGGGCAGAAAGTATATTGGAGCAAAATATAGCAGAGAACTTCCTTAATTTGGGAAAGGAAACAGGCAACAAAATCCAGGAGGCACAGAGAAACCCCCTCAAAATCAATAAAAATAAGTCAACACCCTAACAACTAATAGAAAAGTTATGAGTCTTGGAGACAAAGAGAAAATCCTGAAAGCAGCTTGGTACAAGAGATCTGTAACCTACAATGGTAGAAACATTAGATTGGCAACAGACCTAACCACAGAGAACTGGCAGGCCAGAAAGGACTGGCATGATATATTCAGAGCATTAAATGAAAAAAATATGCAGCCAAGAAAACAGTATCTAGCTAGGCTGTCATTGAAAATAGAAGGAGAGACAAAACCTTCCAGGACAATCAAAAACTAAAGGAATTTGCAAACACGAAACCATCCCTACAAGAAATATTGAAAGGGGTCCTCTAAGCAAAGAGAGAGCCTAAAGCAACATAGACCAGAAAGGAACACAGACAATATACAATAACAGTCACCTTACAGGCAATACAATGGCACTAAATTCATATCTTTCAATAGTTACTCTGAATGTAAATGGGTTAAATGCCTCAATCAAAAGACACAGACTATTAGATTGGATAAAAGGACAAGATCCATCGATATGCTGTTTGCAAGAGACTCATTTTAGACCCAAAGACACCCCCACATTGAAAGTGAAGGGGTGGAAAACCATTTACCATGCTAATGGACACCAAAAGAAAGCTGGGTGGCAATCCTTATGTCAGACAAATTGGATTTTAAACCAAAGACTGTAATAAGAGATGAGAAAGTACACTCTACCCTACTTAAAGGGTCTATCCAACAAGAAGATCTAACAATTGTAAATATCTATGCCCCTAACATAGGAGCAGCCAATTATATAAGGCAATTAATAACAAAAGCAAAGAAACACATCGACAACAATTAAATAATAGTAGGGGACTTTAACACCCCCCTCACTGAAATGGACAGATCATCTAAGCAAAAGATCAACAAGGAAATAAATACTTTAAGTGACACACTGGACCAAATGGACTTCACAGATATATTCAGAACATTCCATCCCAAAGCTAAAGAATACACATTATTCTCTAGTGCCCATGGAACATT